CTATATATAGCCACTCAAACGAGAACGACTGCAGAGAGTATCTTATTGAAGCAAATAGGAATTTGCCTGAGTAAGATCAGGACAAAAACAAAAAAAGAAAAAAAAAATCAACATTTCATCTTTTGTGCATTACTTCTGCTGCAGAAGAAGTTGTGTAAGTACTCCGTGAAGTGGAATAAGAACATGTCCTCACAGTGACCTTATCTACATTTCGCATAAATGTGTCCCAAATTTAACAGAACAAAATCTATCCTTTTTACCATTAGACTGCTAGTCATTCTTGAATACAACCTTGATTTCCTTCCTCCATAACCCTTAGAGAAATAAGCAAAGGACAATATATAAGGCTTCTTCAATGTAATAAAAAAGCAGCATGCAGCCTACAAGAAGAAATTCAAAAACAGAACTCAGATATAAAGAACACGATTTACCATCTTTGGTTTTTCTTATTGTCTCACTCAACAAAATTTTATAAAAGAGATGCACTTGATTTTCCTGCCTCTTTTCCTCTGTACCCTGGTATCAAATTTCTCTTCCCTTCTATCCCATACAGTGGGTTTTTGCCTACAGCAATATAATTTCTGCAGTTCAAAACGTGAAATAGCAGCACTTGAGATGACAAGCTATCATTTCTACAGAGCAGTATGACAATTTTGGAAGGCTAGGGAGGTTGGGTATGGATTCTAATTAACATTGATGAACCTGGCTCCTAAAGATTAAATTCCCAAATGAGTAACTGCTACCTTTCTACACACAGGTCTATCCAAGGTATTCTCATTAAAACAATTTTTTAAAAATTATAAGCTTCAGTCTGTGTCAAGATATTGAAAGCTTTCCAAAACTGATTAAAAATATGAAACGAGGTATTGAACTACATTAAAAATCAACCTTTTTAATGTAGTGAAAAGTAAGGGTCTGTAATTTGTATTCAAGTGATTTTATTTCCAGTGAATAATAATTGCACTGCAGCCAACTTTGTGCATTGTTTCTCTGAAAACCTCAAGGGATGTACAGAAGAGGATGTTGTATCCTGCT